TAGAAAGAAGGGATCACTTGGAAGAGATGTTGTGGAGAAAGAAATGACAAAATCTGGCAGTGGATTAGTTAAGTGGGGTGACTGAGAATAAGGAGTTAAGGGCACATATACCAAGCTGGGGGACCAGTGACAAAGGGAAAGGTCCCACATATAAAAAAATATTTATGGCAACAAATATTGAGGTAGCAAAGGGCTGGAAACAAAGGGTGCCTGTTACTCAGGGAATAGCTAAACAAACTACTGTATATGAAAGGAACAGAATATTCTCGTGCCATTGGAAACAATGAACATGAAGAATTCTGGGCAACCTGAAAAGACTCTTCTGAAATGATGCAGAGTGAAGTGAGCAGAACCAGGAAAACAACAGTCACAACTACCACAAAAACATACAGGAAAACCTTACTGGAAAAGATCAGAATTCTGATCGAGGCAATACCAACAGGGACCCGGGAGAAATGATGCTGCCCACCTCTGAGCACAGAGACAGTGCACCGATCAGAGCTGCAAAATGAAGCACACGTGCCCAATACGGCCAATGCATTGATTTAGTTTGCTCAACTGTATTCTGTTACAAGGGAGGCTTCTCTGGGGAGGGACAGTGATGCTAAAAAAAAGAATATCAATAAAACATTTCCTTTAAAATGTAGGGAAGAGTCAATGGTTACAAACATGATAACCCAAATTAATGGTGGTGCTAAAGATAGAAATAATGAAGTCAGAAATAGGAAAGATAATGAGCTCAATCTAGGTCATCTGGGGGGCAATGGGACAACTAACTGGCTGCATCCTATAGGCAGCTGGAGATGCTGAGAGCTCTGAAAGAGGCATGAAATGGAGGTCCAGGTACGAAGGTAACAAACAGTCATGGGAACCAGTGAGATCATCACAGCAGAGAGCACGGGATGAGAAAGGGCCAAGGGTAGACTTGAGGAACAGTCACGTTGAGGAGGTAAGAAGACAACGAGGAAGGAAGGAGCAGTTCAAAGGGCAGAACCAAGAGATCACTACAGCAAAGACAGGAGAGAGTATCTAGCAGGGGGTTAGGGAATGAATGGCCAAAGCAGAGCCAAGGAGAATCTGGATTTTGTAATGATGGGATGAGGGGGAGAAAGGGAGGGGGAAGGAGGAGAGAAAAGGCTTAACCAAGTGGTGGGGACAGAAGCCAAACTGCAAGGCTTGAAGCAAAGGGGAAGAAGAGAAAGAGTAGAAGCAGCAGGCATGGGAAGCTTTTTCAAGAAGTTAACCGGTGAAAGTGGAAAGAGAGCTCAATGAGGGGGTGGGGCAGGAAGTGAGAAGAGAAGGCTTTTTTAGAGCTGGGGTGATCAGAGTACGTTGGCAGACAACAGGAGAGCAGATTTTGAAGGTGTCCTCAAGACACGGACGACTAGTGAAGGAGGAGGATACTTACAGAAGGCGCAGAGAATGGACTCGAGGGCCCGGTTAGGAAAGTAGCCTTAGTAAGGTACAGAAAGATCTCTTTTGTGACCAGAAGAAAGGAGAAGAAAGTGGAAGATGAGGCTGAGAAGTCAGAGGAATGAAGGAAAGAGAGTTGATGAGACTCATGCTGGATGCCCCTACCTCTCCCGTACAGCAGGAAGCTAAGGCATGTGCTGTAGGGGTTAGCCCAACACAACCAGCCGACGCCTGCCCAGGGCTTTTAGGATTACAAAGTGTTAGATACACATCATCTTATTTGCTCCCAACGCCCTCGTGAAGCAGGCACTTCAGGCACTACCATTCCAACTTTACAGAGGAGGAAATTGAGGCTCAGGACTGTCTGTGGCCATTCTGCTAGTCACGTCAAACACTTCAGAAACCAAGTCTTTACTGTTTCCAGGTCCAGGGTCCCCATTCACTATATACCACTGGGCACGGAGAGAAGAATGAAAAAGGTTTATGGGGAATGGAACTGGGACTTGATAAGGGCAGCAAGAAGGGCTCAAATGAGATTCTGTACCATTAATTCATAGCAGGAGAAATCAGCTCAACTTCATGATTTGTTTCCAAGGGATACTCAGCAGCCCTGGAGCAGGGAAATAGGACCCAAATGAAGGGACTTACACAGGATTAACAGTTCATGAAATTGGAAAGCTAGGTGACGCAGTAGACAGCACTCTGGCCCTGGAGCCAAGAAGACCAGAGTTCAAATCCAGCCTCAGATACTTGACATTTACTAGTTGTGTGACCCTGGGTAAGTCACTTAACCCTTATTGCCTTGAAAAACAAAAACAAACAAACAAAAACAGTTCTTGAAATCTAGAGCAGCTAAAATGGGGGCAGCTAGGTAGCACAGTGAATAGAGCATCAGGCCTAGAGTCAGAAGATTCGTATTCCTGAGCCTCAGAAATTTACTAGCTGTGTGACCCTGGGCAAGTCACTTAACCTTGTTTGCCTTAGTTCTCTCACCTGTCAAATGAGCTGCAGAAGGAAAGGCCAAACCACTCTAGTACTTTTGCCAAGAAAACCCCAAATGGGGTCACAAAGGGTCAGACACGACTGAAACAACTGACCAACGACAACAATCCTGAGGTGCTGGAATACTATTTTCTTCATTCCACTGCCAAGTTCATCTCAACTTAGTGATACAAGAAAAAGAGCATTGGAGAAGAGGTGATAGAAGTGGAGCTGCCCCAGGATCTAAAGCAGGGGTGCGGCTGAACGTCAAAGGGCTGCACTGGAGGGCCTAGAAGGCCACCCCGATCTAAAGAATACGGGAAGACTACCAACTAACAGGCTGCTAAGTCTTACTCCATTAAATAATAGACAAGGGAGAAACTTTCCCTCAGTTGCTAGAGTGATTGAGATGCAGCCTCAGAAAACTAAAGCAGACACTCAAGACAAATGGGAAAAGGCAGCCTCATGAAGCCAAGATCCAGATGCCTCTGATTCAGTGTTTTGGGCAGGACAGGTCTGAGCTGGTTGAGGGAGGCCCAGCACAAAGCCAGACTGATTCTGCTGTCCAGCAATCACACACACAGCATGAGGAGTCGAATAACTTGCTAGATGCTTTGCTCAGGGAGCAGAAATCACAGGAAAGTACGCTTCCTAAAATGACGGGGCAGTGGCCCAGTCCAAGATAATGAGCTCTGCATAAGGCCTATGGCTCCCACAGCTCCTAAAACACCCATTCTTGTTACCTCGACATCCCTGCATCCCAACAACTTGAATGGTGTAGAGTTGCCATGACAATGCTAACTGGCTGCTGGAGACCACAAGGCAGAGAGCTGCAGGAGCCTGAACCTGGATGGAGGACAAGCAGAGATTTCTCTCTCAGCTGCAGCCCTGATGGGCAGGGTGAAGGGAGGGTGAGTCACTTAAGCTCTCTGAGGCCTCCTCTACTCATCTACCATGAGACCACCTACCTTACAGCTCAAATGAGATGTGTCTAAAGAGCTATAAAAATGGCAGCTGTTTTTTCTTCCTTAAAATACAAGCTGCTACTATACTAATCTATGAATATAGCCAGTCACTTATTAAAGTTTATAATTGGGTTCCATTATGTTCTACCTCTTTCCGTCTTTTCTCTTCCCTTAGAAAATTAAGTATATCTAAAGCCATTCTCTTCATACTCTTAATATGCACTCTAAAAATAAATTCGCATTTAGGGAAAGGGACTTTTTTGGCTAGAGCTAAGTATCCTTCCTATCTTCCCCCAAACTTCCCTCAATTACCTAAACACAGAATTACTCAGACAGAAGCAATTTCAACTAGGAAGAATTAAATCATGTAACTTCAGATCTGGAGAGACAGCATGGCCTAATAGATATATAACAGAGAGCCACAGGCCACTAGAGGCGATAGGGCAAACCCCATACGGTCGGTCATTCCCTGGACCTCTTGGCAAATAACTTCACAAGAGTAGAGGCCAGAAAGAGCCACTCTGGCCACAACTACTAACCTTCCTCCCCTCTTCAAATGTTCTTATTCTCCTGAAGACCGGGAACTCACACATAGTCACTGAGTCAGCTTATCTGCCTTCTCAGGCCTGCAGACTGCCCACAGCCCTTGCTGATCTAAATTATTCATTGTAATCTAATTCCGTTAAGTAGACTTCATTCTGATCATCAGCTATGCTGAAACCAACAAAATGCTTCATGCCACCCAGATAACAAAAAATGTACTACGGAACTGAGCCAGCATTTGGCTTTATGAATGCTCTTGCTAACACTTATTTGGGAGGGGAGAAACTGAAACTCGTTCATATAGTGACAGCCCAGCAACATTTGGCGAACGCATTTAATAAATATCATGGTGATAATAAAATAATCAGTGAGTGCTTTAAACTAGAACCAGATGAGAACCTTTATTGTTACTGTGTCTAAGGATGAGGAGGAAGAAAAGTACCTGCAGGGAGAGATGGTGGACAAAGGAGATCAGCTTTTATCACTGAAAACCCAGCTATAAAAAGAAATGTCTGTATGTGTAAGAACCATCACCACATCCTTCTGCAGTTGCCATGTGGGAAGATGAAACTGTGTTACCATGGTTACCACTGCCAAGGAAGAGAGTATTCGGATCAAGTCAGAGTCGAAGGTTCGTCCCAGTGAACTCAAATCCAGGCCTGATTTACTGGTACCCAGAATAGTAACCAGAAGGGCCTAGAATAGGCCACCTCCAAGGACAGAACAACTATGCGTTTCACAATTCTTCACACAAACCTAACACCAATAGCACATGAGATCAGAAATTGACAGTAGGGGGCAGCTAGGTGGTGCAGTGGATAGAGCACTGGCCCTGAAGTCAGGAGGACCTGAGTTCAAATCCAGCCTCAGATCAAACACTTGACACTTACTAGCTGTGTGACCCTGGGCAAGTCATTTAATCCCAATTGCCTAAAAAAAAAAAAAGAAATTGACAGTAATGAGAGAGAAAGGCCCTTCCCCTCTTCCTCATCCCAGAGCACTTCTAAGCAGTCTTTTCCCACCAATCCCATGGATAAAGTAGCTGCTATGCCTTTGCCACAGACCAAGACACGAGGAACAAAAGGCCCTGGTACTCACCTGTGAGGATGTTTTCCGACATCACAGTGACCTGGACTTCCACCGAGTGCTTCGAGGTGTATGTAATCTCAGCACTGACATGAGCCACTTCTCCAATGCACATGGGGGACAGGAAATCCGTGCGTTCCACCCTGGCCAAGGCAGCCACACAGGTCTCCTAGGGGTCACCAAAGACATTTGGTCAGGCCAACGCAAACCCCAGAAAGGAGGGCAGGAGTACTGCAGGGCCTCCTCACCCAGCCTCCCCACCCCAAGCTCCAAGCCCTCTAAGACAGCACAGCACAGCAAAAGGGGAGTCATCGAGACAGGCAGACCTACACTAAAGCAATAAAGGCTACTCTGGCAACTGGTGGGGCTTACCACCAACAGTCACTCCCAGCTCGACTTTTGGGCCCTACATAGCATCCCAAAACACTATACCAGCCATTATGGTCCAGGAGGACACTTTTTTTTTTAAAGTATCAATGTCTTGTTGTTACATTTCCTACCTTTCTCACTATAGCCTTCTTTTCCAGTCGCTTCCCAAGGAGCTATCACTTACGAATCAGTTCAGCAAAGCCAACACCCACCAAGTCTAGCCTTAAGCGTACTGTTTGGCACACTCAGGATCCACCTCTGCAAAGCAGAGAGAGGCTGCCTTTTGATCTCTCTTCTTTTCAGCCACGTGAGGTTCTTATTACCTCAAAGCATTCCATGTCATGTTTTCTGGTTCTTCACAATTGCAGTCACTGTTTATACTATTTCCATGGTGCTGCTGACTTTACTCTGCATCAGTCCCTAAGTCTTCCTATACTTCTCTGTATTTATCATTGCCATCACTTTTTGTTCAGTTGCATCCAATTCTCCATAACCCCATTTGGAGTTTTCTTGGCAAAGATACTGGAGTGGTTTGTCTTTTCCTTCTCCAGCTCATTTTACAGATGAGGAAAACTAAGAAAAACAGGATGAAGTGACTTGCCCAGGGTCACACAGCTAGTAAGTGTCTGAGACTGGATTTGAAATCAGGAAGATGAATCTTCCTCATTTTCGGTCCAGCACTCTATCCATTGCGCCACCCAGCTACTTAGCTATTCCCCAATCAACAGGTACTGACTTTATTTCCTATTCTTGGTTCCTACAAAAAAGAATGCTATAAATATATGGGGTGACTTTTTTTTCCATCACTGACCTCCCTGGGGTATATAAGTAGCAGTGGGATCTCTGAGTCAAAGAATATGGGCATTTTACTCACTTCTATTGTATAATTGCACACTGCTTTCCAGACTAGCTGGTCCAATTCATAGTTCTACCAGCAGTGAGTTAGTGTTTCTGTCTTTCCACAACCCTCTAGAGGATATTCTTTAAACTATTTAATTCAATACACTGAAGGGCCTGTGTAAGGTGCTATGCTGGGTACCAAGGATGCAAAGATGAAAAACCACAGTCCTTGCCTTTAAGGAATTTACAGCCTAACTGAGGCAACTGATATATACCCAAACATGACTCAAACAAGATAAAGGGGATAAGGGATCAAAACAAAGTGATCTAGGAAAAGGCAAGGAGAGAAAGACTGCTCTCCTACACAAAGTAGGTAAGGCCAAGAACATTTCCTTCCTCCTCACATTCATATCTTGACTCTGAATACAAGCTTACTCCAAGTCTATTTTCCCCTGACCATTGGTGAGATCAAACCATAAGGCTCTGGATTGAAGACATACAAGCAAAATGACTATTCTACCCCCAGACAAGGAAGGGGAGAAAATACACACACACACACACACACACACACACACACACACACACACACACACACGTATGTAAGTAGGTAGGTATATATGTATGTATGTGGAACAGGTAGGTGTTGCAGTGAATAGAGCACTGTCCTGGAGTCAGGAAGACCAGAATCCAAATTTGGCCTCAGACACCTATTAGCTGTATGACACTGGGAAAGTCACTTAATCCTGTCTGCCTCATCTGTAAAATGAGCCGGAGAAGGAATGGCAAACTGCTCCAGGAACTTTGCCAAGAAAACCCCAAATGGGGTCATGAAGAAAGACATAACTGAAACACGACTCCAACGTACGTGTGTGTGTGTGTGTGTGTGTGTGTGTGTGTGTGTGTGTATGTGTGTGTGCGTGCGCGTGCACGTGCACATCCTATGTTCCAGTCTCTTTATTCACTAAACCCAATGGGGGATGGGGAAAGTTAGCTCTTTGCCACAACCCAAGAGCCTTGGACAAGAAGGCCTAGAAGTTACCTGAGAGGACGTTTTCAGACAAGATGGTAACACAACATCTGGGATGTGCCAGGCTTTTTCTAACTGTGGTGAAAGCACTGTGCTAGGATGGAAGGAATGCTGGAATCAGATTCAGAAGGCTTACACCCCGGGCCCACCTCGATCGCTTTCTGGTCCCGGTCCCCTAAACTCCTCTCCAAGGAGCTAATTTGGGAGCAGTTCAACTCTGTTGGTTTCTTCTCATTTACCTCCCTCACAGGTCTGGGTTAAGGCCCAAGTGAGAAGGCAGGTGAAAGTGCTTAATAAATAATAAGATGCTATAAAAATAGAAGGGCTCATGGCTTTATAGTTGAGATGGCTCTGACCTACACCTATAACAGTACAGGCCTAATTGGCCAAGCACAAAGCTATTCATATTATTAAATGGAGCTCATTTTAATGAATACCATTATAATACACAGCTCTACATTACAAAAATATTTCCACATCCAATCAGACAACACTGCTTGTCTGATATGGAAACAATTTCTTTCTAAAGAAATTCTGTATACCCGATAGGCTCACACATCTTTCTCCATTGAACTGTTAATTCAATAAAAATCTTTTTCACACAAGTCAAGTGTTTATCTGCCAGACAGCCATTGGGGCATATTGCCCTCCCATCTCTACTGGTATCATACTAAATATTACTCAGAGAAGCTGACATGCTTCTCCAAGTGTATTCTCAGTAGCTTTTTGGAATTTTAGAAACTATGGTTCTTTTGTTTTGTTTCATAAAGAATGCTTTTGAGAGTCCTGCTCCCTGGGCTAACTTATGAGACAGGCGAGACGATGGGCTATCTAACCTCACACACAGCATCTCTCACCTCAGTTTCCCCATTTATAAAATGGGGATGATAATGGCATCTACCCCGCCAAGGCTGTTGTGAGGATTAAATGAGATAACATATGTAAAGTGCTTTGCAAACCTTAAAGCACTAGATGCTAGCGGTTGTCTTCACGGCACATTGGCTAGCTCGCCACCTTGCATAATCTGAGATGAAGAATGGGTGTCAGTGCGGCAAACATTTTTCTTTCTTTTTTTTTTGAATGAATGAAAAAGTATTTATTAAGTGCTTACTATATACACAGCACTTTGCTAAGCACTGGGGGCACAAATGGAAAAATAAGACAATCTCTGCTCTTCAGAAACTCCCATTCCAACAAGGGTGACAACATATGAAAAGGTTCAGTTACAAAGCAGATGGGAAGGTGCTGTGGTCTTTAGGATTCAGTAGCAAAGCAGCTAATAATGCAGATAATCACCCTTCGTGGGTGGCAATCATTTTCCTAGCCCCTCCCAATACTCATCAAACCCAATACAAAGAAATACAATTACACTGCCCCCCCCAAAAAAAGATGCCAAAAAATTAAGTCTTCTCAAAGGCATCAACTTTTATTAAGAATATCTGACATAGATTTCACACGTATAATTGATATATTGCTTGCCGCCTTCATGGGCAGTAGAGGGGGAGGAGAATTTAGAACTCAAAATCTAAAAAGAAAAGAATATTAAAAACAAATAATATATGAAAATCTTTTAAAAAAACAATATCTGACAGATAACATTGTTGTTCAATCATTTCAGTCATGTCCAACCCTTTGGGACTCCATTTGGGGTTTTCTTGGCAAAGATACTGTAGTGGTTTGCCAATTTCTTTCTCCAGCTCATTTTTACAGATGAGAAAACTGAGGCAAACAGGGTGAAGTCACTTGACAGCTAGTAAGGGTCTGAGGTTGGATTTGAACTCAGAGCTTCTTGGCTAAGATGCTGGAGTGGTTTGCCATTTCCTTCTCCAGATCATTTTATAGATGAGGAAACTGAGACAAACAGGGTTGGGTGACTTGCCCAGGGTCACACAGCTAGTAAGTGTCTGAGGCCAGATTTGAACTCAGGGAGATGAGTCTTCCTAACTCCAGGCCTGGCACTCTATGCACTATGGCGCCTAACTGCCCCCTTCATAGTACACAGCATTGTGCTAAGTATACAGTAAGCATTTAATAAATACTGATTGAAATTGGAGGTAGGGCTGCTAGGCATCACCCCAAAGAGGTCAAAGAGAAAACCAAGGGTCTATAGACACCAACCAAAATATTTATAGCTATACAGATAATACTACTGGTCAGAAAGGCCAAAACAAAAAGAAAAACTGAGCCCTGAATCAAGTCTTGGGGGAAAAAATCAAAGGTCAGAGAGAAATCACAGGATTTAGAATGAAAAGGGGTTTTACTTAGCTATCAATCAATCAGCAAACATTTATTAAGTGCCTACCATATTTCAGACGCTGTGCTAAGCTCTGGGGATACAAAAAGAAGCAAAAGCCAGTCCCTGCCCTCAAGGAGCTTATAATCTAATGGGGAACACAACATACAAACAAATACAGACAAAGCAAGCTAGGAACAGTATAAATAGGAACTAATTAGCAGAGGGAAGGCACCAGAATTAAGAGGGGTTGGAAAAAGCTTCTTGTAGTGGGATTTTTACTGGGACTTAAAGGAAACCAGGGAGGTCAATAGTCACAAGGGAGGAGGGAAAGTATTCTAGGTATGGGGGATGGCCACAGAAAATACCCAAGGTCAGATAGAATGTCTTAGAACAGCCAGGAAGCTAGTGTCAATGGACTTTTACAGAGTACAGGTTGGAAAGTAAGGTGTAAGAAGACTGGAAAGGGAGGAGGTGGCTAGGTTATGAAGGGATCTGAATGCCAAACACAGCATTTTGTGTTTGCTCCTGGAGGCAGTATGGAGCCACTGGAGTCTATTGGGGTGGAGGTGACATGATTGACCCTGTACTTTAGGAAAATCACTTTAGTGGCTGAATAGAGGATGGGGTAAAGTGAGGACAGACTTGAGGCAGGCAGATGACCCACCCCACTCCCCCAGCAGCTATCGCAATAGTCCAG